CGCCCCCCCCCCGGCAGATATCCTGGGTAACATCATGAAGCACCTCACGGCCAAGCGCTCCAAAGCCCGCGTCGTGGAGAAGCTGCTGAGCCTGGGGCTGGTGGCAGAGCGCAAGGAGCTGTACAAGAAACGCAAGAGGAAGCCCGGCCTGCCTGGCATGGTATGGCACTGTGTGTGTGTGTGGGGGGGGGGGGGGGGGGGCACTTCCAGACCCCCCCCCCCATGGGCCTCAGCCCCACGGAAACACATCCCACACAAACGGGAGGGGGGGAATTACCCTCTGACCACCCCTCCCAGCAGGGGCGAATGGGGTGGTGCCCCCGACAGCAGGGAGACACCCCCCCCCCCACCCACACACACACAGTGCCATACCATGCCAGGCAGGCCGGGCTTCCTCTTGCGTTTCTTGTACAGCTCCTTGCGCTCTGCCACCAGCCCCAGGCTCAGCAGCTTCTCCACGACGCGGGCTTTGGAGCGCTTGGCCGTGAGGTGCTTCATGATGTTACCCAGGATATCTGCCGGGGGGGGGGCGGAGAGATTCTGCATCAGGCTGGAGAGCCCCTTTATTACACTGGGCGCAGGGATACGAGGGGGTGAGGAGGTTAATGAGTCCCAGCTGATCAGACCCCCCCCGCCCCCGATCAATCTGCTCCCGCCCCCTGTTCTGCCCCCCGGGGTCCCCCGCTTACCGTCTGCGCCCTGGAACTCCTCGAAGAGCCGCTGCAGCTCCCGCTCCTGCTCCTCCGTCCACAGCACGAGGCGCGTCCCCTTCCTGGGCCAGAACACGGGCACTCAGGGGCAGGAGGGATACCCAGCCCCCACGCCCCCCAACCATGGATCGCACCGCGCTGGGATGGGAGGGACTCCCCCATGGTCACAGCGCATCAGTGACACGGCCGAGAATAGAACCCAGGAGTCCTGGCTCCTAGTCCCCTCACCCCAGTGCCCACCTCCCCCTGGAGACCCCCCGCCCCCCATGCAGAGAGAGGGGATTTACTGTCCCTGCCACGCTGAGTCCCCAGTGCACGGACGCTGGGTTCTTTTCACTTTGTGGCCGGCTCGGGGCTCCCCCTTGGCCCCCCCCCCCAGCCCCTGCCGTTCAGCTCCCGAGAGGCTCGGGGGGCACCCACCTCTCCCGCGGGAAATCCCTCGCGCTCTCGGCCAGCCCCAGCCGCACCAGCTGCTTGACGACCTGCTTCCGGGTCCGGCCGGGAGCCCGCAGGCGTGCGAGGATGCTGCCAACGACGTCCGCACCTGGGGAGAGGCCAGGGCGCGGTTACAAAAAACGCCTCCACTCCCCTCTCAGAGCTGGGACAGAACCCAGGAGTCCTGGGCAGCTCCCCCGGCCCAGACGCCCCGGCGGGTCATTAACAAGACGGCTGGTACCTTCCACTCCCTTGTATTTCAGGTACAGCTCCCGCAACTCCTCCTCCTCCTGCAGTGTCCACTTGGGGGCCCTCCGGGCACCAGAGCTGGGGGAAGCAGAGACCTGGTGAGGTGCTGCTGGAGTCGGAGACCCTCCCCTCCCCGGCTGGGACCCTGGGACTCTAGCCGCCTGCGGCACGTGGGGTGGGGAGGAGGGACGCCCTGCCCTAGGGTCACCGTCCTGCAAACTGGCCTTAAATGGGGTGCCGATGTCCCTCCCCTGAGAGCCACCCCCGTGCGCAGGGCCTCCTGGGGATTGCGTGCAGCTGGTGTCAGGGCGCTGCCCCTGCCCTAGCAAAGCAGAAGCTAGAGCCTTGGGGCTGCTCTACGTAGTAGCAAGCAGGGCCAAGAATATGGGGAACACAGAGAGGACTGAGACGCTTCATCCCCACCCCATCCCAGGGCCTCCTTCAAGCTGGCAGCCTTCAGCCCAGACTCACCCCTCTCCCTCCTGCAGTGAGCTGTAGCCCTCCGTCATCTCTCGCACGGTGGCCGTGCTCTTCCAGAACAGCAACTCCACATAGACCTTCTTGTTGGTGGCTGCCAGGGCAAAGAACTTGCCCAGGACGTACTTGGCAAAGGTCACCAGCTCCTGGGAAGGCAGGGGGTGGGGTGGGGCGGTTAGAGGCCCATAGGTTAGAGGGTATTCGCTGCTTCCCTGGGCCTGCAGGGAGCGGGGCTTAGCTTAGTTAGAGCAGCCTTAGGGCTGCTCTAACTGACAGGCGAGCATGGAGGTTCGAGGCCCCTCTCCCCGGCATTGGCCGTTCCCTGCTGGCGGGTTGGTGACGCAGGCGTAGCCTGGTGAAGGGCGGGCCCTGCCTGGGGCGGTTCCCCGGGGGCCCCTCACCTTGTAGGCGGAGGCCGAGGGGTCGCTGAGCAGGCGGTTGAAGATGCAGAAGACGGAGAGCTGGAAGAGCAGCGCCTCCATCTTGAGGTCGTAGGCGATGCGATGCAGCATCTTGGCCACGCAGTGGTTGGTGTGGGTGCTGTTCTGCCGGTAGCCCCGGAGCAGCAGGACGTAGGCCTTGACCACGCTGGCGCTGGCAAACCTGGCCCCCACCAGCCCCCAATACACAGGTGAGTGAGCAAGGGATCATGGGACAGCTCAGCCAAGGGACGGGGCCCCTTCCCCAGCCCCCTCCCCCGCAGCTTAGCTTCCAAGAGGCAAGGATCAGCCTCCCTGTACCCAATGGGGAAACCGAGGCACAGAGCAGGCAAACAACTTGCTCAAAGCCACACAGAGCCAGGAATAGAACCCAGGAGTCCTGCCTGCCCCCAAGTCCCTCCACATGCCCAAGAGTCACCCCACAGGGTGACAGCGCCTGCCAGCCGGAGACATTCTGCCCAGCCCAGGGGCTCAGTGCACCCAGCGTTAGGATCCAGGGCACCTCGACCTACATGGCCCAGCTGGCCTCCTGGAGAGAGCGTGGCCCAGCCCTGCTGCCCTGACCCGACCTCCCACCGGCGCGTCCCACTCACCGTTTCAGATAATCCAGGAAGTTGAACTCTTTTTCCGACACCTGGACAGACGCCAGTTCTTCCTCTACCTCCTCTTCCTCCTCCTCCTCCTCCTCCCCCGGCTCCTCGACCTCGGGTGCCGCTTGCCCTGCGATGTCCAGACACCCCGGGATGACGGGGACGCGGCACCACCAGGGAGTCGACGGCGGCAGCACACACAGCCGGCTCCTTACCCCGGGGCTGCCCGCCCAGCACCACCCCGCGGCGGGCACTCGGGGGTTAAGGGGGCTCCCAGCTGTACAGGGGTGGTGGTGAATGGCTGGACTGAGCCAGGCTGGAGCCATCAGGCTGTGTGTGTGGGAGGGTGGCACTGGGGTGATGGGAGAGGACCCCGCCCCCCATCCCCTGGCAAGGATACTCACGAGGAAGAGGAGCAAAGAGAATCTGTCTCAGCAGCTCGATCTCCTCGTCCAGCGCCGCCTGCGGGGAGCCGAACACGTCCTGTTCGGGCCACACCTCCCTGGGAAGGGGAGGCAGACAGGTCGGGCCGGGGCGCTGGGGAAGTGAGAGGCCCCCGCGCGCCCCGTCGGCCGGGGCTCCCCCAGGCCAGGGCAAGGGGTCCCCGCCGCCCCCCCCCCCCCCAGCACTGACGGCAGGTGGGCGCATCGCCCTGGTGACCCCCAGCGGGGCCGGCGGCGGTACCTGGCGGAGCGGAGCAGGGTCAGGGCGGCCGGCGCCCGGCGGCCCAATAAGCTGTCCTGGATGCGCACCATGGCCTCCGCTCGCTGCTCCTCCACCGGGGTCTCCGAGGCAGCGTCGAAGGGGACCACGTCTTCCGGGAGGGGCTCAGTCCCCTGGCAGGGAAGTGGGGGGCGGGGGGAGAGGCTGGGGTGACTCAGTGCCTGGCAGGGAGGGGCCAGATCCAGCCCTGCCCACGGAGGTACCACAGAACAGCACCATGTCCCATTGGGGGGCTGGCCCCAGGCAGGGGGGCACCAGCCCACTGAGCCCAGCCCCCCCAGAATGCCACCTGCCTCCACTGAACCAGACCCCCCACCTCCGGTGGGCTCAGCCCCCCAGAGCAGCACTCCCCACCCCCTATGGATTCAACCCACCTTGGCCCCTGGGGACGGGCGCCTGTCCTGCCCCCCCAACAGTATGGGGATACAGCTGCCCTTCCACGGTTGCCCCAGATGCCCACACCGGGGGGGCCCCATAGACTCCCCTGCCACCTAGCGTGGCCCACAAGGGGCGTGGCCTGTGCATGCGACAAGGCCACGCCCCCGGTGATGCCCAAGCCACGCTGGGCCGGATCCCCCAGGGCAGCCCCCGCAGGGACCCCAGGTGCTGCCCCCTCCTACCTGGGCGCAGACGCCGAGCTGCTCCGCCAGGCTGGGCCACAGCTCCTCCAGCTCCTGGGGGGTGCGGGGCTGTGCGGGGGGGGCCGCCCGGCCGGCCCGGGGTTGCTTCTTCCTTCTCACCCTTTTGCTCTGCAGGGAGGAGACGGCGCGGTGAGAGGCCCCCGCAATGCTCCCCCTGTCCGGTTGGCAGACCCCAGGACCGAACCCCCTGCCCTGAGGCACACAGGAAGCCGAGCTTCTGGCGCCCCCTGCTGGCCACTAGGAGTGACTGTCAGGTAAGGGAGAGTCGGCCACAGCTGGGGGGGGAAATGTGGGGGCCGTGGGCCAAACCAGGGGCCAGCCCCGCTCCCCCTGTACCCACCCGGGGAGGAGGGGGGTTAGCATGGCTCTGGGTCAGATCAGGGGCACCTCCCCCTGTCCAAGGGGGGGAAATAAGCAGGTGCCCCACCCCAGACACAACCCCCCTCCGCCCGAAGCACCTCTCCCCATCCCAGCCCGCCCCCGCGCCAAGTACCTGCACCACCAGGTTGTTCCTGCCTCGGCAGAAGGCCTCCAGCATCTTGAGGAAGAGGTGGGTGGTCTCCACCAGGTCTCGCAGGAAGCAGCGGGGCTGGTGGGTCTCCTGGAACTTGCGGAAGAGAGCGAGGAAGAGCTCCCGGTACTCCATCAGGTAGAAGATGTTATCTGGGGGGGAGCGTGTCACAGCAAGGGAGAGTGAGCGAGCGCCCTGGCCTGGCCGGGGGTCAGCGCCCGCCAGGCAAAGCGCTGACACAGGACTGGTGGGGCTGGGCAGCCTAGGGGAATGAGGTGTGGGGGGGGCTTTTCCCTCTAGAGGGCGCTGGCCCCGATCTGGCTGCAGGGCAGGGGACTGGCTGGTTTGGGGGAAGGGGGTAGGAGATGGGGCACCAGGCCTTTCTCCTCTAGGGGGTGCCAGCTCCCATCCGGCCCCAGGGTGGGGACTGGCTGGCTCAGGGTGGTGGGGAATGGGACCTCCCCCTTCAAGGGGGAGCTGGCCCCGATCCAGCCCCAGGGCAGCCATGACCATGTCACCCCATGTCATAGCTGGGAGGCCCAGTACCAAGGGGCTGGGAGCCCCAGTTAAGAGCAACCCCTCCCCCCAGCTGGCTCCAAGGGGTGGGGTGGGGGCTGAGTGCCGTGGGGGGGGGGGGACTGGGCCCGGGGGTGCGACTCACTCTTAATGATCTTGCTGCATTCCCGCACGGCCTCGTCCGGGGAGCGATCCATCTCCTGCACCGTGGTCAGCAGCTCCCGGTAGGCCTTCAGGGCCAGGTGCATTCTGGGCACGGAGCAGAGGCTGGTCAGGAGAGTACCCCCCCTTGGGCAGCCGCTCTTGGCACCTAGCTCAGGTGTGTGCATGGGGGGGGGGCGGGGACATGGCTCCCCTGGCCCCCCAGGGGAGGGTAAGGTGGCAGGTGACAGGCAGAGGGTGAAGGGAGTCAACCAAGGACTCCTGGAGTTGAGAACTGGGGAAAGAACCCAGCCATCCTGGCTTCTAGCCCCACCCCCTTCTCTAAGCCACTAGACACCCCCCTCCCCTCCCCGAACAAGGGATAGAACCCAGGAGTCCTGGCTCCCAGCCCCCCCAGCTCTAACCACTAAACCGCACTCCCTCCCTGCACTGGGCCGTTCCGGTCCCATTCAGTGCCCCCCCAGACCCGGTGGAGAGGGGCGGTCGGGCGCCCTGCTCACCGCCTGGCCCACGACGTAGCCTCCTTCTTGTCCAGGAGCATGGCCTCGTAGTAGGCGGTGAGGTTCTGCTCGATGAAGTGGAAGGCGCGGACGCTGACCGTCTCGGACACCAGCTCGGGCCGGAAGCGCCGGCCGCGGTTGAAGGCCATGAAGAAGGCCATGGCCCACAGGTAGTAGGTCTCGTCATGCTGCTGGCTTTTCTCCCGGAGCAGCTGGTCCTGGGGAGCGCATACAGGTTGGGGGGGCAGCGGGGACCCTCCTGCCCAGCCCCCACCCCCGAGACCCTCCCATGCTGCTCCGGGGCGCTGACGGGATTGGAGCTAGTGATGCTGAATAACGAACCCCTGCATCACTGCCCCCCAGAGGGCAGGGGAAGCTGCCCAGCCTGGGGTCAGAGGCTCCCAGCCGTGCACTGCAGCGCCCGCCTGGCAGGCGGGGCCGGGAGAGGGGGGGGCCCGGTGCTGCCCGCGCTCACCTTGACCAGGCGCATGAGGGGGTTGTAGCAGCTCTCCAGGAAGTCTCCGCAGAACTCCCGCAGGAAGAGGCGGACGTTGAGGGCCGAGCGCCGGCGCGGCTCTGCCTCCCGGGCCGGCTGCCGGCGCTTGGGGACCCGCCGCGGCTCCTTGCCCAGGTCGTGGCTGTGCTCTTTCAGCTGCAGGGGGGGGGGGGAGAGAGTGAGGAGAGGAAC